TTTTCCATTCACCAATTCAAAGCTGTTAGTGCTTCCCTGCACCTCCAAAGCTAACCTACCCCCACCCACCAGCGCTGCTTTTGACTCCAAGAGCAGCTGAGAATTTAAAGGGACAAGGCAGAGTTTGGGTCCTAAACTTACTTTAAAACAAAAAAAAAACCCTCATTTTCCTGATTTTGTTTTAAACGAGAATCATGATGGCAGTGGCAGTGCGTCCAGATCGATTGCTCTGTCTGTGGGGTTTGTAGAATGATGCCGCTCTTGCTAGGGCTTTGCAACGCCACTGCAGGGGTTTGCTAGGCCTGGAGAGCCAGAAAATGAAACTGACTTCTACACAAACGTGAAACTGACCAGTCCATTTTCACTGGGCTGGGGGCTGTGTGTGCAGCGCCCTGCATGGTGGGGCCTGACCTTAGTGGGGCTTCTGGACACTACCGTAATACACCATATATAACACCACAGCATGAGAAAGAGGTTCCAAGACTAGGCCCTTGCTAAGGACCTGAGGCTCTAAATACAGCCAGGCCACAGCCTGTGGCCGGGGGTGGGTGGCAGCGTTTCCCTGGGCTGTGACAGATGAAAGGTGGGGTCTTTACACGTCTGTGAACATGGGCGATAGTATGGAACCCCCCGAGCTTTCCCATCTCCATGCTGCACCTCAGTTAGAACCGTGTCCGAGCTGGGCAGGCTGTTCTAGGCTGAACCAACAATCAAGAAAACCGCAGGATCGGGCGTGTGTCCCTGCTCCCCCCTCCACTTGCTCCCCTGCTGTAGCACAGGAGAGCGGACCTGGCAAGGGCTAGGCCCTGAGCCGAGTTTTGCAGTGTCTCAGTGGCATCTGAGCCTCCCACAATAACTAAACAAAATGAGCTCACACTTATTAAGAGGCCTAGTGGGTCGGGCATTTCCTCAGAGCTCAGGAGATCTGGGTTATGTTCATAGCTCTTCCACCACCCTGCTGGGGACTCTAGACAAGTCATGGCACCCTCTATGCCTCAGTTTCCCCTCCCACGCTTGGTTTATTTACACTGTAGGCTCTTAGGGACAGGGCCTGTCTATTGGTGCGCAGGTCCATTGCCACTGACTGCTGCTGTGGCTGGTTCGAATCTGCTTGCTAAGCCTTGGAACGGCAGAACAGGGAGGGCTAGGGCTAAGCTGGACTCGTTCTCTGGGGAGGACTGGGTGCAGAATTGCTCCTGCCCCCCTCCCTACAACACCCTCAGCTGGGACCGCCTCCAAGAGCCAGTGCTCCCGCCCTGCTCCTTACAGCACCATCAAGTGCGGGAGAGGCCAGGACTGAAGTAGCTGGGAGCTCCCCCCACATGCAGTGCTCTTGGCTCACTCCCTACAGCGCCCCCTGTAGACTGAAGTAGTGGGTGCGTCCCATTGGCAGCACTCCTGTGATGTTCCCTGTGGTGGTGTCAAGTGGGCAGCACGATATTTTGATTAAAAAACTAGAATATAAAATGCTCAGCGCCTTGGCACATAATGCTGTGATGGGGACGCGGAGCGGGGGCAAGGCTGTTTAGTCAAGTGCAGAAGGGACCATTGTGATCATCTAGTCTGACCCCCGTAGAGCACAGGCCAGAGACCTGCCCACAATAATTCCTAGCGCAGATCTGTTAGACAAACAGCTCATCTGTATTTAGTTACATTTAGCCATATTAATACACGTCTTGTTTGCTAGCACCCAGCTCCCCAAGTGAGCGATCACTCTGGATCAGTGCCTGTCCTCGTCCTTATTTACCTCTCCCGCAACTTTCGTGTTTCTTCCGGCATGACTTTGTTTTCTTCCAGGTTATTGATAAAAATGCTAAATAACATAGGGCCAAGAACCGATCTCTGCAAGGCCCCATTGGACACAGATTTGCTCAATGAGGAGTCCCTATTTACATTTTGAGACCTCTCAGTTAGCCAGATTTTAATCCATTTCCTGTGTGCCCTGTTCATTTTATATCCTTCTAGCTTTTTTAATCAAAATGTCATAAAGTACCAGGTCAAACACCTTACATGACATCAGCTCTATTACCTTTATCAACCAGACTTGTAATCTCATCCCAAGGCATATCAGGTTAGTTTGGCAGGATCTGTTTTCTGCAAACCCATGTTGATGGCATTGATTATTATTCATACTACCCTCCTTTAGTTCTTTATTAAGCGAGTCCCATATCAGCTGCTCTATCTTGCCTGGGAACAATATCAGATTGACAGGCCTGCAATTACTCAGGTCATCTCGATGACACTTTTTGAATAATGGCACAACATTAGCTTTCTTCTAGTCTTCTGGAACTTCCCTGTTGTTCCAATACTTATTGAAAAGCAACATTAATGTTCTAATGAGCTCCTCAGCCAGCTCTTTTAAAACTCTTGGATGCAAGTTATTTGGACCTGCCGATTTAAAAATGTCAGACTTTAGTAGCTTCTGTTTAACATCATCCTATGATACTAGTGGAATAGAAAGAATTTTATCACACACTATAACTGCATCATCTGTTTTTTCAAAATACAGAAAAGAAATATTTATTGAACATTTCTGCATTTTCTGCATTATTATTGATAATTCTACCATTTCCGTCTAGTAATGAACCAATACCATAGTCAGGGTTTTTTTGTTTGTTTCTAATATACTTAAAAAACTCCATCTTATTGGCCTTAACTTTTGCTGGCCATAGAGTTAATAGAACATAACGGCCATACTGGGTCAGACCAATGGTCCATCTAGCCCAGTATCCTGTCTTCTGCCAGTGGCTGGTGCCAGATGCTTCAGAGGGAATGAACAGAACAGGGAAATTTTAAGTGATCCATCCTGTTGTTCAGTCCCAGCTTCTGGCAGTCAGAGGCTAGGAAGAAACACCCAGAGCATGGGGTTGCATCCCTGACCATCTTAGCTAATAGCCATTGATGGACCTATCCTCCATGAATTTATCTAGTTCTTTTTTTGAACCCACTTATACTTCCTTCACAACATCCCCTTCCTTACGTTTTTTTTTTTTTTAAACCTGCTGCCTGATAATTTCATTGGGTGACCCCTGGTTCTTATGTTATGTGAAGGAGTAAATAACGCTTCCTAATTCACTTTCTCCACACTGGTCATGATTTTATAGACCTCTATCATATCCCCACTTAGCCGTCTCTTTTCTAAGCTGAACAGTTCCAGTCTTTGTAATTTCCTCTGATATGGAAGCTGTTCCAGACCCCTAATCTTTTTTGTTGCCCTTCTCTGTACTTTTTCAAATTCAAATAGATCTTTTTTGAGATGAGGCAACCAGAACTGCATGTGGTATTCAAGGTGTGGGTGCACTATGGATGTCTTTCTGTGTCCCTTAGCTTCTCCTCAATTTTTGACACTGCCTAGCTTCTGATTTATAGGCATCTCCTTTCTTCCTTCCTTCCTTCCTTCTTTTTTTTTTTTATTTAAATAGCTGCCTTCACTTCCCCCCTAACCCAGGTTGCTATTTTACCCAAGACAGCCTTCTTCCTTGACGGTGGGATTGTGGCTTTCTTGGCATCTAGTAAAGTGTTCTTAACCAGGTCCCAATGATCACTCATGTTTTACTGAGTACATTCTTCCTCCCAGCTGATTTGGCTCATCAGTCTTTTCAACCCTTTTAAAGCACCAAATGCATCTATCACTGGGCTGGCCTTTCTGCTGTTTGCGCAGTATAACCATGATTCAGAGAAAAGGAGGTGAAATCCTGCCTCTCTGAGCCCTGTCCCAGTTTGCTCAACCTCTGCCTTGGACAGGGAGAAGTTCCTCCCACACAGGTCTGAGCTGTAGGCAAGTCTAAATTAGGGTTTCCAGGCATCTGTTTTTTTACCACAACGCCCGCTCGAAAAGGGACCCTGGCGGCTCCGGTCAGCACTGGTACCTGCTTCTCGGGGGGGGGGGCGGGGGGGGGCTCAGCACCCCCCGCCCGGGGGGGGGGGGGGGGGTGGTAGGTACTGCCCGGGGGGGGTGGGGGGGGGGGGGGGTGCTCAGTACGTGCGGAGCTGCCCTAGCTGGGGGTGCTCAGTGCCCGTTGCCCATGTCCAGGGGTTTGGGCCTAGGAGCATCCTGGAGGTGCCAGTCAGCCCTGACCCCTGCCTCCCTTCTGCAGTAACTCCCCTGTCCACGGGTCCTGCAGATAAATGTCCCCGTGGCCATGCCTGGCTCGAGGGGGGGCACGGATCAGGCCCCTTCCCCAGCTGGGCACCGAGGGGTGCAACCTTCCCAGAGCCAGGGAAAGGGGCCTCTGTCCCTTTAAATCCCAGCCCCCTCGCCCCCTCCCCCTCCTTGTTTATATCACGGTGCAGCCTAACTTACGCTCCCCTTGCCTGGGGCCCTCTCCCGCTGCCCATTGGCCGGAGCCCGTCAGCCGCACTCTCTGATTGGCCGGCCCGCCGCGGGCAGGCTAAGGTGCGCGGGTGGGGAGTCAGCTGACCCACTTGTCGCCATGGCGGGCGGCTGGGGGCTGCGCTGGGCCGTGGCCGCGCTGTGCCTGGGCTGCGCCGCGGGCCGGGAGGGCGGGGCGGGGACTCCCCCGGCCAGCGAGGCCCCCCCCGAGCCCGGCCCCGCCCCCCCGCGGGTGCTGGGCTTCCGGCTGGAGGAGGGGGCCTGGGCCCGCGGGGGCCTGATCCGGGCCGCCCCGGGGGCCAACTTCCGCCTGCGCCTCTACGGCACCGGCCTCAGCAACCGCAGCTGGCCCTGGGTGGCCTTCGCGCCCGCGGGGGGGCCCTGCCCGGCCCCCTCCGCCCCCCCGCCCGCCGGCGCGCTGCAGGTGCTGCCCGACGCGCGCCCCCGGGGCGAGCACGCGGTGCTGGTGCGCGTGGCCGTGTCCCACGCCGGGCCCCGCGGCAGGTACCAGCTTTGCAGTCGCCTGGGTCCCGGGCAGCCCTGGGGCCCGGCCGCCCCGGGCGACGCAGTTCTCGTGGACGAGGACGAGGGCGGGGGCGGGCGCGCTGCGGCCGTGGCCCTGCCGCCCCCCTTGGCCCCCTGGCTGCTGGGCACGCTGGTGGCTCTGCTGCTGGCCCTGTCCTCCCTGCTGCGGGTCCTGCAGCTCAGCACCCTGTGGCTGGACCCCGTGGAGCTGTACGTGCTTCGGGACTGCGGCTCGGAGGCGGAGCGCAAGGCCTGCAAAGCCCTGGAGCTGGTGAGGCAGCGGGGCACCTTTGCCCTCTGCTCCCTGCTGCTGCTTAGCTCGCTGGCCAACGCCGCCCTGGCCGTGCTGTTCTACTGGGCCGTGCGCATGGTGGCACCTGCTGTCCTGGCCGTGGCCGGCTTGGTCTTCCTGCTGGCTGAGGTGCTGCCCTTCGCTGTCAGCTCGCGCTGGGGGCTGGCGCTGGCTCCCCGCGGGCTCTGGCTGACCCAGCTCTGTATGCTGCTCACCTTTCCCGTCTCGCTGCCGCTCAGCAAGCTGCTGGAGCTGGCCCTGCAGCATGATGCCAGCACCTGCCTCCTGCGGGAGAAGATCGTGGACATGGTGCGCAACAGTGACCCGTACAACGAGTTCGTGCGCGAGGAGTTCAGCAAGGGCGCCCTGCGCAACAAGACGGTGGAGGACGTGCTGACGCCGCTGGACAAGTGCTTCATGCTCAACGCCAATGCCGTGCTGGACTTCAAGAGCATGTCCATGATCATGCAGAGCGGCTACACCCGCATCCCCGTCTACGAGGAGGAGCGCACCAACCTGGTGGACATGCTCTATGTCAAGGACCTGGCTCTGGTGGACCCGGACGACTGTGTGCCGCTCAGCACCATCAGCAAGTTCTACAACCACCCCCTGCACTTTGTCTTCAACGACACCAAGCTGGACGCCGTCCTGGAGGAGTTTAAAAGAGGTAACCGCCCCTGGGTTGGGTGACCTGGGGTTTGTGCCCCGATGCTCTCCCCTTGCAGCCAGTGCTGACCCCAGTGCTCCAGCTCCATGCTAGGGTGTGCTGTGCTGCAGGGGGTGGGGTGACGGGGGCTCTGGACAGGGTGCTGTCCCCTTGGTGTTGGTGCTGACCCGATGCTCAGGTGCTGTGCAGGAACCAGGCTGAGGGTTCCATAGGAGGTGCAGTCCCCTCAGTCATTGGGGATATTGCACTGCCTGGAGTGGGTTGCTTAGGGGCGCTTTTCTCTCTGGGTCAGTGCTGCCCCCAGTGCCCCACCATGGCGGAGGGAGCCTGCTGCTAGAGACCCTGCACAGTCACTTGCCAAAGGTGCTGGGGCACTCCAGTGAGTTATCAGCCCCAGCACCCTGGCCAAACTTCAGCCTCCTGGCTTCAGCTGTACGCGGCAGTCTCCTGTCCCTGCCCTAGTGTGGTGGTAACGTACGCTGCCACCTCCCGCCCCAGAGATCAGGTGGCATTTCACTTCTGAGTGCCACAATCAGAGAATCATAGAATATCAGGGTTGGAAGGGCCCTCAGGAGGTCCTCTAGTCCAACCCCCTGCTCAAAGCAGGACCAGTCCCCAACTAAATCATCCCAGCCAGGGCTTTGTCAAGCCGGGCCTTAAAAACCTCTAAGGAAGGAGATTCCACCACCTCCCTAGATAACCCATTCCAGTGCTTCACCACCCTCGTAGTGAAAAAGTTTTTCCTAATATCCAGCCTAAACCTCCCCCACTGCAACTTGAGACCATTGCTCCTTGTTCTGTCATCTGCCACCACTGAGAACAGTCTAGATCCATCCTCTTTGGAACCCCCCTTCAGGTAGTTGAAAGCAGCTATCAAATCCCCCCATCGCTCTTCTCTTCTGCAGACTAAACAATCCCAGTTCCTTCAGCCTCTCCTCATAAGTCATGTGCTCTAGCCACCTAATCATTTTTGTTGCCCTCCGCTGGACTCTTTCCAATTTTTCTACATCCTTCTTGTAGTGTGGGACCCAAAACTGGACACAGTACTCCAGATGTCGAATAGAGGGGAATGATCACGTCCCTCGATCTGCTGACAATGCCCCTACTTATACAGCCCAAAATGCCGTTAGCCTTCTTGACGACAAGGGCACACTGTCGACTCATATCCAGCTTCTCGTCCACTGTAATCCCCAGGTCCTTTTCTGCAGAACTGCTGCCTAGCCATTCGGTCCCTAGTCTGTAGCAGTGCATGGGATTTTTCCATCCTAAGTGCAGGACTCTGCACTTGTCCTTGTTGAGCCTCATCAGGTTTCTTTTGGCCCAATCCTCTAATTTGTCTAGGTCCCTCTGTATCCTATCCCTACCCTCCAGCATATCTACCGCTCCTCCCAGTTTAGTGTCAGTTTAGTGCCCCCACAATCTGGGGGCATAACCTGTAGACTGGTTTGTACCGTGCGGTATGCAAATCTCCCGTGTAGAGTGGAGTGTTTTATGGTCCGAGACCTCACTAAGCAAGAGTCATAAACAGATGCTGTGTAGGTGGGGAGCCCAGTTGTTCAGTACCGGGCAGCTCACAGGATGCTGGACTCCTAGGTCACTTTCTGTGGAGTTTCTTCCACCCAACCTGATTCTAGCAGAAATGTTTTCGAGACGCCTGCACCGTAGGCCCTCGGAAAGGTTGGAAGTGGGCTATAAGCACAAATCTCTAACTCGTGAGCTGAAATCTGCTGCTGAAACTGTATGCAGATTGAGGTGAGGCGTGCACTGGTAATCGGACTGCTGTGATTTGTAAGTTTCTATGTCTCAAGGCCCCATGGTCTGCGGGGGCTGGACGCATGACTCTGATCTGGCTAGAACAAATGCTTACAGGGCTGGAAACTTCCCCAAGCACTGGGCCAGCAATCAGAATACAGGGGCCTCAGGATGCTGTGACTGCTACTGTGTTCAAAGTAATGGCTAAGGAGAGGTGCCTTCTGAATGAGGGTCTGGGAACAGTGCTGACGGGCCCCACCGTCCCGGTGCTGGGTCAGGTTCATCGCCGAGGGAGGGGACAGAGGGGTTGCGATGTCCCAGTGGCCATGCAGCATAGACCTCAGTTGCTTGTACCTCGTGACCCTGAGTTTAGTCCACTAGACCATGCTAGAGTGCTTGGTCCCCTGGCTAGTTCTGAGCTGGCCCCTCTGTGCTGCTGAGATGCTGCCTAAGGTTGCAGCGCTGATTCCATTAGCCAGCCAGCAGGAGGCGCTCTTGGGGCAGAGGAGAGCATGGTGCCAGGCGTGCATGCTGATGCCCCATGAGTAACACTGCCTCCTGCAGAATGCTGGTGCCTACCATCAGCTTCCCATGGGGAGTAAACCTGTGTATCCTACCCAGGGCCCACGGTCAGCAGAGTGCCGGGGTTGCAGTGGCTGGCTGAGCTTTCCTGTGCCAAGGAGCCCTGAGACACCGGGCCCAGCTGATGCTCTGGGGCACGTTTCTGCTGTCTGCTCTGGCACAAGAGCGTCCGAAAGCACCTTTCGCTGAAGGCAGCTGGCACTCCCTTCCTCGTAGATCCCTGCAGATAGCCACGCGCCCCGGGCAAGCAGTGTCTGCGTGAGCCGAATCGTTCCTGGGCAGCCAAGGAAAACACCCTTAACCTGGCCTCCCCCAGCTCTGGGGCTTGGCTGGCCTCTGACTGCTGGGAGTTAAGGTGCAAGCATCATGGGGGCAGCTCATTCCTCATCTACTGCTGCGGGGTTTTCTGCACCGCCCTCGGAAGCAGCTGGTGCTGGCCCCTGCTGGAGATGGGACACTAGGCTACACGGGCCTGGGCTGTGCTCCAGTGACGCTTTCTCATCTCCTCCCCATGGTAACAAAGCTCTGGGAGGTACCTCCGCGTGCAGGATCTCCAGCTATGCCACACGCCTTGCGCCAGGGCTGCTGGACCATCGCTGGGAGCTCCTGGGGGCTGCTGAGCAGGTCACAGTCCCCACCCTTGTGGAAGTTCTGCCCGAGTGATCCCCGCCACCCCCCATCAGCCGGACCCCCTCGGAGCCCACGCTCAGACAGGAAGGAATTGCAGAAGTTCCTCTGGTACCTGTGGGTGCCTCATGGTCTAGGAGCCTCCACGGGGCCAGCGCCCGTCCCGCCAGCCCCACATTGTATGCTGTTAGGACTGGCCTTCCCCCCCCAATCCCCCTGCTGCAGGGGGAGGGTGGGCTGGGCTGTGCAGCAGAGCGGATGGCACCAAAGGGAAGTGACTGGCTGAGACCCTCGCTAGGTGATGGACGCTCGCCTTGCGTTGTCGGACTAGCGGAGCCCCAATACACCGATGGGGTGAGCAGGAGTTAACTCTTTCAGTGCTGCTGGGCAGCCAGCTTCCCGTGTTCCCTGGGAGATGACTAGGGATGGCCATGCTCCAGGTGCAGGCGTGTACATTGGAGCCAGAGCACCGACTGATTGCAGCCCCCAGTCTCTGGCTGCTCCCAGCTGCGTCGTGCAGTGCAGGGCATTGACAGCGACGGCCCTGGACTGGCTCCTCACGGAGTTCTGGCTGATGCCACGTTTGGCTTGCCACAGCGGACTGAGCGCACTACCCTGTCCCTGGAGGGGAGTTTGCTCAAAGCCGGGCACAGAGGCTAGAGTTCGGCAGGATTTCCCAGGTATTGTGACTTTTCTAATGCCGAGCCAGAGCCCTGCCCCTCTCTGTGCGGTGATCCCTCTCTCCTGCCCTCTCCCTGCTTGGCACTTCCTGGCGTGTGTCTTTGGAGCAGCTGGAGACGGGTCCCTCTCGGGGAGACAGGCCAGAGTGCTGCTCTGAAAACTGACTTGCAAAGGGAAATCAGTGGTGTTTGGGCCTCATGCATGCAGCTGTCATGTTCTTTGTTATATTGCTCGGGGTTTTTTGCCCTTGGGAACATCAGATAGTCCCGGTTTTGTTTCTCTTGGCCTCCTGGGAGCACGCTCAGCCCTTAGCTGAAGGACTGTTAAAGATTTAACAGAGAGAGCTTTGCTCCCAAGTGGTTTGTGGGTGTCGGAGCTGCATGTGGTTAGCAAAAACTAACCAAACCCCACAGCGTTTTAAACAGCCTGATTGCACACCCTGCCCCCTAGTGGTGCTCTCCTTGCCCGGCCGCAGAGCCTGGTGGACAACAACCAGCAGAAAAGCCCTTTTGTGCTGACCTCCCCCAAGGTAGTGCTGATTTCAGTACAGTCAGGAAAAGCCCTCCCTCCCCGTGGGTCCTGAGGAAGGTCACCTTCAAAGGCAGCCTCTTCCCTCCCGCAGGGTGGGGGTAGGCCGTGCGTCCCCGGGCCTGCTGGGCTCCAGGGCATGGGCAGGCAGAGCTGGCTTTGGTCTCTGCGGGGAGACGAGCCAGGTCCCACTACTGCCATGGAAACATCTGGCAGGGCCAACTCGATGCCTGCGTGACCTCAGCGTCACTGCAGGGATCTGGCCGCTCCGTCGCGGTGCAGAACAGCTGAGCGCGTGTCGCTTGCTCCGGGCTCAGCACTCTCTGGGGCCCTTGGAGCAGGCTGCTTCACTCCTGGCTGGAGGCAGGGGATTTGGGGGGATCTGTGGGTCTGGTGTCGAGCCCAAAGCTCCCCCCAACTCCTGCCCCAGCCGTATGGGGATGAGCCTCTCTGTCTGAATGCTGGGTAGCTCTCACATGTCAAAGCCAGCACTGGACCGGGGGCCTCCAGCCGGCTCCTGGGCCCCCCCAGCTAAACAGAGGGCGGGGCAGGGAGACCTTGCGCTAATGTCAGGGGCAGGGTGGTGGGTGGCTGGCCTGGTTAAGGCCCTGAACTGGGCTGTAGGAGGCCTGAATTCAAGTCAGGTTCTGCTACTGACCCCCTGTGACCCTGGGCAAGTTCCTTCATTTCCCGGGGCCTGTAAAAGAGAGAACTCTGTCTCTCGTGGGGCGGGCCTGGCTGGAGCAGGGTCTGTGCAGTGCCTGGCACACGGGGGCCCTTGTGGACTGCTGGGATCCAAGTGCAAAGCAGACCAGCTCTGCTTGGCCCCT